GAAATAAAAAAAACAACTACAAGACAAAATATAAGAACACATGAGAGTGGGAAGGCTGATGGAGCCAGCGTTAGGACTGACCTTAGTTTGAGGGGTTTTGTTTTGTGTTTTCTTTAATCACAGGAAGATAACTGATACAAAAAATAAATCTAAAAGTTATACTATAAAACAAGACTACCCAAAACGAATGCTTTACAAATTTCAAATTTACAAGGATCTCAGTAATCTATGCAGGTTTAGGTTTACTTGCAGGCATGACATAAAGGGGGCTTAAGACCCTTAAAGGTGTTTTTCATTCCCTAGAACGCTTATGCTGTACGTATTTTGCCAGTGGGCATGTGTACATACAGTAGCAGACATGTTAAGACTGACAGACTGAAAATCAGGTCTTGAATACAGTTCTCCTTTGCTGGGAACAATCTAGACAAAAGAATTTTAAACAGACAAGACCATCTCATTTTGAATACTAACTAGTTAGTTAATTATTAAAATTCCTTTTGAGCATATGCAGTTTTGGAATTTCTAATATATACTACAGAAAAAAACCCTTTTGATTTGACGGTGAGGGTAACACACGAAACTTTTGAATCTTCCAGGTGACTGCTCACTCTTCTGAATATAAAAAAAAAATTATTCAGAACTCGAGAAGAAGATACTTACGATAACCGACCTTTAATATTTGGGGAGTCTATTTGTGGTTAATTTTATAACTGTATGGTTGTTTTAAAGTAAAATCATACACAAAATTTCAGGATCATATTCTATACCCTTTCATATACTTTCAAATACTTGAAACCTTTTAAAAGTTTTTCCTTCTGCAAGAGTTTTCCTTGCCTGTAATTAGCCAAAGAGCTGCATTTCTGAAAAATAATGAGGATAACCTATTCATTATTTTGCATAGATTAATAAGAAGAGAAAACTTCCTGAATTCAATAAGACTTCTTGGCCACATAGACCTCAAAAAATCCTTATATATATAAAATCCAACTTCTTTGATTAGTCAAGAGGTACCTTAAATCTAATTTTTTATTATTCTATAGGTTGTAGTCTCTAGTGAAGTAGAAAAAATATTTAAAATGATGGCAAGCAATGGAAAATCGTGTATGAAGAATAGAATATTTCCACCGTAATTGAAGTAATGACCCTGGTTACAAGACAGTGGAAAAACAAGCTCATGAACATGAGCACATTAGCATATTATAAAGGCTAGTTAAATAAAATGTGGGGGTTGCTATTACGTATATCTATTGTTATGAGTGCCATGTCACCTTTTCCGAGTCTGCATCATTAACCGTACTCTGCTGTGGTAGGAACTACATGCAAGTGCAACACAGTAACTGTCTACTTCAACTGCGATAAACCTGAATCTCAGATGTTTTCATCCTCTGTGGAAATACACAATTAAGTACATAACAATTTAAACCCAAGATTTTTAATTTCCTATTTAAGAATAAATATAAAGGAAGAATTAAACTACAAGAAAGCGTAACTATAGTACACAGGTTGCAAATTTAAACACTCAGAAGCTGAAAAACCACAGAAGTCTAAATGATTCCTAGTTCACTTTCAAGTCCTTGTATTACACTCACAAAATTAATCTTTCAAATCTTACTTTCCTCAGACATAGACTGAATTTTGCCCAAGATTGTCAATATATAACTTTCACTGATTTCTGAACTTCTGGAAACAACAGAGGCAAGTGAGAAAGGATGAAACTTTATCTTTTTATGTTCTGGCTTTTGAGGGTAGAAAATTTTATCTGTAGGGTAACAAGAGTACTGTTTTTGTAAGTATAGTCCATGTAACACAGCAGTGTTCTTGGCTTTATTTACATCAATGGAAAGCCTTCCATCAAAGGCCAGAATTTTTTTTTTTGAAGGTGACTTATGAATTGTCACTAAGTGAGAAGATGATCAATCCCTATTTTAAGTTGCCTAATGCACTCCATAGTTAGAAGGAATATTTTCTTTGGAAAATTCTACCATGTCTAGTGTTTTTACAGGTCTTTACTAGTCACAGGAAGAAATCCCTCAGTTTGTGGAATTACCTTGTTTTTGTGACTCTGAATTCAAATGCATGACTTCCTCTCACCCGTATTTCCCAGGAAAAACACTAGCAGCTTGCCCAGACCCCTGAGCATTTTGACCGTCCAAGCCTACAACTCCCTCATAGCACTTGGATGAGGATGCTGAAGAGCTGATTGCCTAGGTACATCAAGGGAAATAAGGCTACACTAGTGTCAACATTCCCAGTCATCTTCCAGACCCAGTACATACCACTGGCATCCCATCTACCTGATGGTACAAGAGAACAGGCACTCCTCTAACTCTAACCACAGGGAGAGAGGGGCAAAGAAAAAAATAATTACGAAGCTGAGCTGGCATTTCTAGGACCCAGCATCTTATTTCAGTTTTAAAGCAGCAGCTCCCTCAAACTCCACATAAAGACAGAAATCCAGACCAGCCAGAAACCAAATCACCGTCAATCCTGGACCATGGCTGTGGCAGCCAACACTCTTCTTTTGGGGCAGGAATACCTCACCCCTCTACAATGAGGACAAGGGGGGCACTGAAATCAGCCCCCTCTTCTCTCCTGTAGGTCTATCACATGATACTGGCACTTCACCAGCCTCCTAGGGAATAAGCCTTCTCCTGCAGCTGGCTTGTCAGCCCTGTAGCTGAAGCCACTGAAGACAAAGCAAAATACTCTGGGTTCAAATTTGGCTTGTGACAATATGGTACAGAAAATAACCTATCCTCTAAACAAAATTTAAATGGCAACATAAAAAAGATGGTACTAAACCAAAACAGAACACCATGTGTACTGCTAGCAAGTAAATTAAGATTAATAAGCACTGTTCCATGGCTGTTCATAGAACTAATGTACACTATGACCTTTAAGGACACAATCACATGTTTTTACACTGAACTTCTAGCTCATTCACTTAACAAGTTAAACATGAAAGGAGCTGAAATAAATTCTCAGAGCAAGTGTAAAGTTTCCATCCCGAACTTCCGAGCAGTTGATTTTGTAACCTAAATAATATTATTGCAATGCATTTTTACATGATTGCAATCTATTTTTACATGAAAGTATTCCATGTTTCATCAGGTAAAAAAAAAAAAACCAACAACAAAACCTGTCTAAAGTAAAGCCAGGCAAGCATGAAACGTCCCCTACGGAGGTCAAGGGGACTGGATATGAATATCTGAGAAAAGAATTCAACTCTTTAACAATGTCTTATCTCTCCTGTAGTTTACTTCAATATTTATTTACTGTACAGTTAACAATGTGATTACGTTACCACTACACAGCCCTCTGCATCCATAATACTGCCACTCAGTGATCCTGTAACGCTTCCCCACAGGCAACCTGGATAAGCAGCAGCCCATTCACTCTCCTCTTCCCATTTGAAAGTCAGAAACCTTGTGGACAAACTCCCTTTGTGTCTAACTGTGCTAACCACATGGCTCCCACTCACCCTTCCCCAAACGTTAATGGAAAAACGTTTCTCCACTGTGAGGAGAGAAGCATTGGTGGTGGGGAAGGAAGTTTAGGAAAGTTACCAGTGAAAAGAGACAGCCTTACAGCAAATGAAAATCCACTGTACACTGATATCATCCATCTAAACAGACACCCTTACATCATTAATGTATAATTCATTTGGAAGACTCTTTCTTCCCTCTTCAGTGACTTATTAATGATTCACTAATAAGCTTTGAGAGTAAGAGCAAACAGGTGTGGAACACATTGCATTCAGGAAGATTTTAGTACCAGCTTACCCAAGTGAAACTTGCATCTTTATTCTCTGTGTACCAGATGATGAAAACCATGATGCTACCCTGAGGCGTCAAGCTGCTGCTCACTGGCTATCTCTATACTGCAAGATCACAGTCAGCTTCCGTATCTATAAACAAGTCATGGTAGAAAACCCATGGCTGTATCCCAGCCTGAGGTAAGACTTGGGCATGCACAATTCCTCAGCTCGCTGGTAACCACCAAACAGGAAGATGGGTACACAGGCTAGAAGGGAGTAGTGCCACACTACAGCTATTCCTGATCTGGATATCTGGGGAATCGGGTCTGTACCAGCCCCTAAAATCAAGCACTGCCAGTTTTGTACATAATCCCCTTACTTTGGTAGACACCAGTTACGTCTTTATTTAAAAACTGAAAAGGCAGAAAAAGCATGTGTTCGAACTGTGTTTATAAACAAGTCTGAGATGCAGAGTACTGCCTTAGGGAAGCTTTCATTGAGAACTGATCACAGTTTAGAAAACAGCAGAAGAGATGATACGTAGACATCTGTCCCATTGCTTTTGCACAGATACAATTAATTAAATCAGCATGTGGAGCCTTTTGGGTTGAAGGAATAATATTTTGTCAGAGGGTTACAGCAGTAACATAGGTACTACCTTAATTCTGGACGCTTAGGTACATAGTAGATTCCCCTATATGTGATAACTAGTGGAAACCTACAGCTACTAACAGCTCTGGTCCGGCAAAGAGTCTTGCGCTGCCTTGGTACTGACAGTATCCTCACGGCACAAGGCTATGTTATCACAGCTAATCCACAGCTAAATTTTGCAGCACATTTTTTCACCTCGCTTCAAAACCAAAGCTGTTTATAGGTTTTGCAAGTGACATAGTGCCCATGGCAAATTAAGAACAAAAAACCCCATCTTTGACAACTCAAGCATTTCCTTCTAGTTGTGGAACGTTTGGAAAAAGAAACTAAAACAAACAAAAAAGTTTTGTAAAAAAGGAGGAGGATACCCCTGTTTTTCCCCTCAAGGATAAACCAATTCCCAGCATTCTGACAGACACAGAACAGTTGCATTCCACTTCAGAGTGTTGTACAAACACAACAAGGACTGTAGCCAGGCTCTTCCACCCTATGACTCTACACGCAAGGGATCAGTGGGGAGAAGGCTATCGGGTAATGGCTATGCCGGATTGTCCCCAGCCACGCTCAGAAATCAGTTTCCTTATTTCCTTACCCTCTGTTTCCGTAGGCTTCCTGGGCTGGTGGGAGATGGGCTTGGAGACTTCCCAGAGCGGGGAGTAGAAAGCTGGCTACCAGGGGTTCCATTCACTAAAAGGACAATAAATTGAAAAAAAATAAATACAAGGCATTATTAAAAGCAAAGAAATAGTTAAAATCAACAGGTTTGTTTTGATTTTTCGTTAAACAGATTGATTTGCTTTTGCTTAATGTTTTAAACATTAAATAAGGTAATTCACAAAAGAACTATTTCCTCAGAGTTTTGGCTCATAAAGCTGAATTTTATACAGTCTGCAAATAATCAACAAACCTGAAAGGACTCTTTAGTCAATGGCAGAGAACATGACCATGTTTTCTTAAACGGTATTGTTCCTGAGCTTGAAAGTGATGGGGAGCAAGGTGCTTTGTTAACCTTAACAGACACTTGCTATATGTAAACCTTTTCATTCCATTTAGTTATGGCTTGAAGTGCTACCCACCGAAAATAAAAAGCAGTATTGCTTGCACGAACAAATCAGCTGCTTGCTGTTCCTCACTCATTCATTTGAAGAGATTTTTGCAATACTATCTGACCCAAACATCACCTCAGACTTAATCCAAAAGGGCTTTCTGGAGGCAAATAAATTGGACATAACACCTCCTGTCTGACTTACAGCAAAGCATCACTGTCTCAAATAAGTAAGTTCCTTGATATATGTCAGTGCCTATCATTTTAGAAGCATCTTTTGCATGCAAGTGACATTATCCATTAAATTAACAAAACAATTCCAGCAGAGGACAGAATTCTACTACAAAGTAATCACACGAGAGGCTAGCAAAAATGTTCACACTGAAGCACTGATAGAAACACTACAAAGCATGTATCGCATACGTATGTAAATATTCTTAAACAAGCAACTGTTCATTCACAGTGCACGTTTGTCAGCACCAGGAAAAAATCAACAATCAGATTCCCAGATTCAGAATCTTAGGAGAATATTTACATAACTAGGATATCAACAAGGCATTTGACTTACCTTCTATGAGTTCTAACATGGACAAAATCTTACTGTTTAACCTGATTAACAGCAAGCAGCAAAATTCCTGCTCTGTACTAAGCCAAGCTGTAGCCAAACTGAGAAGCAATGGGATTAGTTAAGGATAGCTGGGGCTGCTCACAGAGTGAGCTGAATGCGATGCAGGATTCATAAGCAGAAGCCTTTTCTGCGTAAGGCTGACGTCTTCAGAGCAGCAGTGGGAGGTGCAGGTGCTGTCTTAGGGCTACATCAAAGGTGTCAATTAAGCATAATGCTGCTGCTTCACAACGCTGAGCCACCGCAACCCCCACTCGCTTGCCATGGAGCCCCGAAAGCCTAAGCAATTTTATATGCTGTGCACTGAATCATAATGAGGTGCCTTTGGGGGCAATACACCAAGTGACTCATCCAAAAATCAAAATGACAATAACTGTTGTAAAACCTTGGCTGACTGGCAATCTAGCAAATGCTAATTCCTTTGGATAATACAGCAGGCATTTTTAATAGATTTTTCTTACTTTTTACACAATACATTGTTCTCACAGCCTAATACTGGGCCCGCATGAAGACAGCAACATGTATACCTACCACGCTACTGATATCAATAAAACGCATTACACTGCATGATAAGTAATGATCACTTAATAGTGCTTAGGTGCTACAGCGTGATCGGATCTCAACATCACTTTGTGCAAGGCATTGTTTAAGGAAAAGGTGCAATATATTTATATAAACATAGGAACAAAAAGATACGCTAATTGCACTAATTGCATTTAAATAGGCTGCTTTTCTAGAACACCATTCCACTCATCTAGGCTTCAAATTCTCTTTGTGCAGAGGACAATGGTTTGCCCGTATCAGCACCAATTCAACTGTTGTACTAAGTGTGTTGGGGAGAGCACATGCACATGCATATGTTGTGACAACAACAGTGGACAAAGGAAAACCAATGGATGTCATCTATCTGGACTTCTACAAAGCCTTTGACAGGGTCCCCCACAACATCCTTCTCTCTAAATTGGAGAGCTATGGATTTGATGGGTGGACTGTTCGGTGGATAAGGAACTGGCTGGATGGTCGCGTCCAGAGGGTAGTGGTCAATGGCTCGATGTCCGGATGGAGACTGGTGACAAGTGGTGTCCCTCAGGGGTCCGTACTGGGACCGGTGCTGTTTAATGTTTTCATCAATGACTTAGACAGTGAGATCGAGTGCACCCTCAGCAAGTTTGCGGATGACACCAAGCTGAGTGGTGCGGTTGACACACCAGAAGGATGGGATGTCATCCAGAGAGACCTGGACAGGCTGGAGAGGTGGGCCTGTGTGAACCTCATGAGGTTCAACAAGGCCAAGTGCAAGGTCCTGCACCTGGGTCAGGGTAACCCCCAGTATCAATACAGGCTGGGGGAAGAAAGGAT